TGGGAATTATAGAAGAAAATATTAAAAACTTCACATATTTCTATTTTATCCTATAAAATAAATTACTAATGTCTCATATACAGAGACAAAAATGTATGAAACTCATAAATACGTATGTAGAGATATATTAGAAGGGACTATTCAAAAAAGGTTTACCAAAATGGATAGATGTATAATCTAAACTATCTGGAGGCAAGCATCAAGCAAGCATCAAGGATAAAACTGAATTCTTTAACCTGACATATTAAGCAAGCTCCAGCTTCAGTGTCCTACCGCTCTACCCAATGAGCTTCACAACCTAGTAACACTGCTTTGTTTTTAGTTCCTTCATTATATATTTTGCTATTTTGTATTTCCCTGCATTTGCTTAATTGCTTTATGTCAGAAACAGGCTTTTCACCTGTATTCATATATCAAATTCAATCTCCTTCAAAACTGACCACTCCTTCCACAACACTGTCCTGAGCTCTCATGACAGGCTGAGATTAAAGGCACCTCTGCGCTCACAGAGAACCCTTTGAATATTACTGTGATAACATATATTCGATATATATTCAAATGTCATATATTCAAATGTCATAACATATATTCATATATTCTATGAAAAATACTGTTTATAGTCATAAATGTGTCTTTGTACTGTCTCTTTTTCTCACTGGAAGCAGTTTGCGGTCAATAATCACATTTTTTTAAATTTATCCTTGCATTTCTAGGACCTAGGAGCGTGTCTGTTGGAAGATAGGAGTTCAGTGAATGTCTGTGGAACTATTATATACTACAGATAGAATAGTTAGAAATCTAATATGAAAACCCAGAAGTGAAATAGAAAGAGAAGAAACAAAAATCTATGTGCCTTGATTTTTTCAGCCTTACATAAACAAGGGAGACAGCATCAGCTGTAAAACATCTAAGGTTCTACTCTATTTGCCATATACCAAGTTGTATTATGACTGTTTGATGGATTCTTTTTTTTTATTAACATATATTATTTGCCCCAGGGGTACAGGTCTGTGAATCATCAGGCTTACACATTCCACAGCACTCACCATAGCACATACCCTCCCCAATGGCCATCGGCCAGCCACCCTATCCTGCTATTCAACATAGTGCCAGAAGTCCTAGCCTCAGGAATCAGACAACAAAAATAAATAAAAGGCATCCAAATCGGCAAAGAAGTCAAACTCTCACTCTTTGCAGATGATATGATGCTGTATGTGGAAAACCCAAAAGACTCCACTCCAAAACTGCTAGAACTCATACAGGAATTCAGTAAAGTGTCAGGATATAAAATCTATGCACAGAAATCAGTTGCATTTCTATACACCAACAGAAAGACAGAAGAAAGAGAAATTAAGGAGTCAATCCCATTTATAATTGTTTGATGGATTCTGGTAGAAAACACAGGATTCCTGGGTCAAAGACAAAGAGCTTTTTAATTTGTGACATAGCAAGCAGCATCAACTTCAGGTTCACACCCATGGGAGTGACGTGTGGTGGCCCAGGGGTATGCTGCACATGCAGTGGATTTCCCTTATAGCTGAAGAACCCCAAGCTTAGGAAACCCCAATTTTTATAATGCACTGCAAGCAAATGTGCTCAAAATTTTCCCTGAAAAGAGGTATTTTCTCAATTTTCCTGGACAGCAAGCAAACTTGCCCTCTAACTCAGAGAGATTGGATCTAACTTTCAAGGCCACTGACCATACAAATAGCCTTGAAAAGATAGTCTAAAACAAAAGTTGCCAGAGCTTCTCACATGACTAATGGAAGTAATAAAGATTCAGCAGAATCATCCCCCAAATACTAGTAATTAAAATTACCTAAAATATGTACAAAGGTCCAGGGTCAGTTGATTTGGTCATACCTATGAGACTCTACTTAAGATTAACTGCTCTAATTCTTCAGTTTTAACCAAAATTTCAATAACACTGGTTTGCTGAGTTTTAAAATGCTCCTCTTTATAATCCAAATTAATTTTAAATTTTAAATATGAATTAACTCTATATTAGAAAATAATTATCAATGTTTCTTTTGCCTCCAGCCCAAGTTATTTGACACCCACAGTATTTGTGTATGTATTTTCACCATGCAGAGGTCTTTGAATCTCCCATCATACATAACAAGAAATTATTTTCTTCTTTCATTTATTGTTTGTATATTTAATTTTAAACCATAAAACCAAATTATTCATTCACAATTATATATAGATAAACCCTTGATCATAATTATCCTGTTTTCTAGGATTATGATTCTCCCATTTTAGTGTAAACAAGAAAGCAGCTGAAATGATTGACAAAATGTAAATGCCCAAGCTTCCAAAGTTTCAGGTTTTATTAATAAAGTGAGTTATATGCTTTTAACAGGATACCCATATGATTGTGAATTGGCATTGTGCTTTTTAAGATTACAGGCATGCTTATTACAATTTTTTTTTAAAAAAATAAAAATTTATTGTGTTTTAGGCAAAATAAATATTTTGAAGACTTTTTAAAAAAGATTTTATTTATTTATTTAACAGACATCACAAGTAGGCAGAGAGGCAGGTGGGTGGGCGGGAGGACAGGCTCCCTGCCAAGCAGAAAGCCTGATGCAGGGCTCGATTCCAGGCCCCTGGGACCATGACCTGAGCCAAAGGCAGGGTCTTTAACCCACTAAGCCACCCAGGCTCCCCTAAAGACATTTTTAAAATAGAAACACAAGTGCTAACACAGATGCTAGAAGTCTTAGAAGAAATAATGGGATCAGTTAAAGTCATGTGGAGTATTATTAGTTCAAATATTCAGGAAGAAATGGCCAGAAGGCAAGGTGAGGTGATAGACTAGATCACAAGACTGAGGTCCTGCTGGCCGCTATGATTTAGGAATTGTCTAGGGATGTAACCTGTGTAGCTACAGTCTTAGATAAATGAGGGAAAGCAGACAGATCCTCAAAAAGCACCATACAGAAAGAAGTAAAATGTGAGGACAAGCAGTCTATGATAGAGAAAGGGGAGTAACAAGAGAAGCAATGGTAGAAAAAAGACATGACAGTGTGATATTATGGAAGCCAAAAGACAAGATGCAATGAAGAATGGATAATAGTAACAATAAATGAATGAATAAAATATATTTTAAAAGAAAAAAATAGAAAAGAAAGTAAAATAAAATGAAATGGAAAAATATCCCTTATATATTGGTTTCTATTCCAAGACCGTGCTCTTTATACTTATAAAATGAGCATTCCCATCTTACCATTGAAGAAACAGAAACAGGAAGAAAGATTAAATAAACAACCAGGATTGCAGTTCCAGCAGTCAGGCTCCAGAGGCCATGTTCTAAACCACTGATCTAGGCTGAGGATAGAATACATGCTACTGGTTTCAGAAGAATAGGTGTGTGCAAGCCAGACCACACTGGACTTCCCTGGCACCAGCTGGGGAGGGAGTGGAGGCACTGCGTACTGCTTTCTCAAGAAGTCTGCGGTAAGATGGAAAAAAGAGATGGTTGGAACAACTTTAGGATCTGAAATCCTGGACAAGCTTAATGACAACTTTAGGATCTGAAGTCCTGAACAAGCTTAATGACAAAGAGAAAAGAGCTAGTTGAGTGGGAAAATCTGAGATGCAAAAGAAGCATGAGATAATTAACAACACCAAGTTGCTAAGGTGCTGAAAGGGGAGTGATTGGGAGCCACTGATGGAAGTAGGAAAACAGAATTTTCATAGTAAGAAAACATTTTAAAATGAAAAGAAAAGAAAAAGAATTTATAGAGGCTATCCTTTTGTCATCCTCAGTGCTTTTAAAGTAATGATTGATCTTCTGGATGGATGGATGGATGGATGGGTAGATAGAGAGAAAGGCAGGCATACAGACAGACATAGATGTATAGAGAAATAGACACATGGCAAACAACCAGGGCCCTACACTATAGCAAGAATCAAGAAAATTCAAATTACTATGAAAGAACTTTAATTTCAGAAATTGTATGACAATTGCACAGTTATTAAGATAGTTGAGTTAAATAGCTTCATTCTGCCTATTCAAACTTCAAATTTACAGTCTCTACAACCTGTTATTAAGTGATTGTTTTTCAATCAAGTTGAGCTGCTTTCTAGGTTAAAAGGCACCCAATAACTAATGACAATGATATATGCATTCATTCCTCTTGGTAAAGTTATTTCCTTTTCCTACCACATAATTTAGTACTCTGAAAATGTAAATCCATCTTGGGTAATGGGATTTTAAAGCAAACTTCTACTGGTACAACTTAATTATGTAATTTTCCCTGTAAAATATCCAAGTGAACCAAATGTTATTTTATTTACTTTTTATGAACATATTTTCCTTTCATGCTACCTTTCCTTTATTCTATAAAACTACTATCCTAAAGCACTTTGAAATCCACCAAATAAAACTTTCATGTGGATCCAAAGTATATTTAAAATATTTTTCCTATTCTCTGTACTTGTGTCTACTCTTTTTTGACGAGCAAACCATTCATCACCATCATGAGGTTTACACTTTCTTTCTCTTTCTAGAAAGCCATTATTTTCTACTTGGTTCACTCTTTACTATAAATGTTCAAATAATAAAAGTGATTCTACAAAAAGTGTTTCCCTAGTAGAAACAAAGACATGGAAATAAAATGCTCTTTGCATTCATGGGTCATCCTTTTGTGTGAATGACAGTTATGGAAGTATTGGAAAAAATTCCATGCTCCGTGCCACAATGCAATGCAAATGATTCCCTTTATGAAACAAAGACAGACTGTGTAATTTTCTTTGTTTTCATGGTCACTGGCGCCATTAAATTGGTAGTTAGACCTAAAAGACCATTGTTGTTTGAAAATAGAAGAGCCAAAATCCTTGTATATAACCAGTGGTCAAAGTACCTTAGAAGACCAAGCAAAACAAACCATTTTATACTGAGAAATGACCACTGGGAGTGACTTTACTACACAATAATAAAAGAACAGATATTTGTAAGCATTGTCTACAAAGGAGTCCATTGCAGAAACCATTACCTTTCTCAGATGCATGCAGCTGGATCAATCCCGTTTGTTGTCTGAAAAAGCCAGTTTGGCTTCATTTACTCCATGACTGTCGATCTGGAATCCACAATTCCAGAGAATGTTGCCCCTGAAAAAACCCACGCATTCACAATGCCAGACATGCAAAAAAATTAAGATTTGAAACCTGGCACTGGGGCTCAGACAACTCCAAAGTGGCACAAATAGGAAGCCCAGATGACGGCAAAATTAAAAGGGAAAGCCAATAATGCAAATCAAGACAATCCAGCGGATGCCTGGGTGGCTCAGCAGCTGAGCACCCAACTCTTGATCTCAGATCAGGTCATGATCTCAGGGTCATGAGAATGAGCCCCACATCAGGCTCCATGCTCAGCAGGGAGTCAGCGTGAGATTCTCTCTCCCTCTCCCTCTGCCACTCCCCAACTTGTGCGCATATACACACACACACACACGCACACATACATGCACGCACACACTATCTTTCTCTCTCAAATACATAATCTTAAAAAAAAAAAAAAGCAATCCAGATACATAGTGAACTTAAAGAGAGCAGAACAGGACTAAAGAGGAAAACTGAGACCTGAATGATTCTCTGACCCTATGAGCAAGTGCAGAATAGATTCCTCCCTTGTAACTGGCTAAGAGCAGGGGCCTCCCTTGAAGGCTAAGGTGCTCACCTAAGAAAGACAACTGCTCGCTGACGGGTGGGGGGGGGGGGGAACAAAACCAGAAGTATCAGAACCTTTCATGTCAAACAGTAAAACCAAGCCATATGTGCAAGTGTCTGTGGCTTCAGTCTTTCTTCTGTCATCAGACTTAGGGGAGTCAAATAGTGGTATCATGAAATCCAGGGCAGAAGAACAAGACAGATGTAGTGCCACTGACAATGCAACCATCTTTTATAAGATGAAAAACAAGTATTTTTTCCCCCTGAATGCTTTGGGAAGGATATATAAGATGATGTGTTTGTTCTCTACCTTGCTTGCTTAGCATTCATGAAGAATTCAGGATGGACTGTTTTACAAGGTATAGAAGTGGTTAAGAAGATTGGATAAGGACAATTGAACCCTCATTCCCTGAAAAGCATGTTTCTGAAAAGGAAAGAAGTAGAGTGGAACGCCATGGAAATGAGTCATTTGGTAAATGGGTGCCAGTGGGAGAAAATGTGAAGAGACAGGGCTGTATTTTGTAGTAATTAATCTCTAGAGTATAAAAGGCAAATGTGCAAGACACATCTTTGGTTTTGCTTTATTGTTAGGATTAATCATCTCCCTTTCTTTCCTTCTATGTTACTACATAGAGCTAGAGCCTCTATGTTACTACATCTCTGTTCCCTCTCTGTGTGTGTATGCACATGTGGGATATGGGTGCATGCGTGGTGTGTCTTTTAGTTAATGTCTTTTATTTATTTTATTAACTGCCTTTTTAAATAAGTTTTTCTTTTCATGCTACACCAAGGGGAGTTTTTTTTAAAGACATATCTGTTAAGTGTTTGGTTGGAGCCAGACTGGTATATATTGCTTAAAATAGATGAACTGCCTTTGTTGCTATGGCCAAACTTGTTTCGTTCGTGTTCTGGATCCTATCCCCTTCATTTATTCAAGAATTTTGCTCATGCAGTCCTCCCCTCTCTGTCCCAGACCACCCATTTTACTCTAATAGATCAGTACTATAAACGTCTAAACATGCTATACTATCATCCATATTAAAACCTCTCCCTTGACAGGAAAATCGCAATTCCCCATTTCTTGTTCTCTATTACAGCGGAATTCCTCGAAATAATTTCTCTCCTCACTGTCTTCATTTCCTTCTTTTCGTTCTCTCTTATATTCTTGCCAGTAATTCTTTCAGCCTACATTCCACTGAAATCACTTTTTTTAATGTCACTACTGACCTCCGGACTGCTAAATCCAATGATTCAGTTGAGGTCATCATCCTTTTAACCTCTGATCATTATATGAAATGATGGACCATTCCCTTCGCCTTGAAGTCCTCTCTTCCTTTCATCTGTGTGGTTTCATCTCTGAGGCAGGTATTCACTTTGATATATACTACTTATTACTCTAATCTGGCCATTTCTACTGTCTGGCTAAATCCTTTTCGTTACTCCAATTTCTAGATGTAAAGAACCCAGGGCTCATGAATGACCTTCTTCTCTTTATCTTGCTGTGCTCTCCATACAGATGACTGTAATACTCTATAAGCCATCTGTCTGCTATGACTCCTAACTTAATATCCACAGCTCAGTATTCACCCGGTGAAATGTATCTGCCTCTTATAGCATGTCTACTTAGATATTTAATAATCATCTCAGGTTTAGCATGTTCAAAATAGTCTGCTTTCCCCACACCCCTGTTCCTTCCCTGACTTTGCAACCCCCTTCATTCCAGATCTTTTCCATTTTAGGAATTGTCATAAAAATTCATCCAGGATCTCAAGTCAAAAATATCTCATACCTCACATCCTATCCTATAATAAACTATTGTTTCTTTCCTCAAAATACATTAGAACCGCAACCAAATTTCGCCATCTCCATCGCCATCCCAGTCCAAAGCACCCACACTGTGGTGGCCATGGAGATGTCCTGACTGAATTTCCCTTCAAGGAGTATCGTGACTGATGGCCTCCAGCTGCCATGCTTTTGTCTTTCCAAAGCCACTTCTCCTCAGGCTCTTCCAGTGACCAGCTCAGGAGCAGGGGAAAGAGGACCAGAACAGGGTTATTCCCACATGACATAGGATTTGTCTAAAGTGCAGCTTCTACTAAGGGACTCCCATAGGACTACCCAGTACGTTCTCAGAGCCATGCTGCAGTCTGATCTCTCCTCTCCTTTCAGGTCGATGGCATTAGCAACTGCTGTCTGAAGCCTCTCACTGCCTACTTCTGCTCCCTATTCCAATAAACTTGCCAATTATTTACACACCTTGCAATATCTAATCCTGTTTGGCATTTGCTTCTCAGAAGATTTAAACCAAAACAAATATGTTTCATGGATACTTGATCCTAACTTCTCTCTGCTCCTATCCCTGGTCCCATTAGCTGCAAGAGGGGACTTTTTAATGCCTAAGACACACTATGTCACTCCTTTTCTTAAAGTTCTCCCATGGCCTCTCATTGTTTTTAGGACCAATTCTAAGCATGACTCCAAAACTTCAAAAATGTGGCATCTGGCTCTCTCTCCAAATTTCTCCTTTGTTCCTCTCCCCCTACTACATTATTCTGGATGTTACTTGAATTCACCTGGGAAAGACCCACTTCAGAATCTTTTTATACATTTTTTTCATGCTGAGATCAAGAATGTTCCTCTCCTGGATGTCCACATGCATAACCCTTGACTTCATTTGAAATCCTGTCCCCACAGTTTCTCCTCAGGAAGACCTTCCCTTACCCATCTAAAACAAGAAGATTCTCCACAAATATAACTTCAAATATAAGTTAAATTTATTTAAAGATCCAAATATATAAGCAGTTTTTTTTTTCTTTTTTTTTTTCAAGATTTTATTTATTTGACAGAGAGACAGCGAGAGAGGGAACTCAAGCAGGGGGAGTAGGAGAGGGAGAAGCAGGCTTCCTGCTGAGCAGATAGCCTGATGTGGAACTTGATCCCAGGACCCAGGGATCATGACCTGAGTTGAAGGCAGACGCTTAAGGACTGAGCCACCCAGGCACCCTATAAGCATTTTTTCAAAGAATCTTTGAATAAACCACAGGTAAATGTAGATAAGGATGCAAAAAATATATAGGTCTTTTGATAATACAAAATGTTAGATATAAACATTTTCTTTTGAGATTGAAGTTACACTTCCTGTTCTTCATATCATGAGAGGTTAGGTATTATTTCCACTAACCTATCAGCTATTTGTAAAATAAAATAAATGCATTGTGCAAATGGATGTAAATGAACTGTGACAATTGGTGTTTGTTTTATATTCTGAGTACATTTGCCATAGTTTGCATTTTAATAGCCTTGCCTGGTAGCTAGCTCTTTGAGAATATTGTTAGAGACCAATAATTCTTAGAAGAGTGCCTATTATGAAAATAGAGATTTGATAAAGTGCTTATTATTTTGGTGGCTAAGCTATAAGAACTCATGTCTAAAGTTGATTTAAGACTATTTCTTAAAATTGGTCGAAATGTGATTCTAATGCCTTCTGTTGTATTCATCTAATATTAATTATTTGGAATTTTAAAATCATATGAAAGTATTTTCTTGACATATATTATTAAAAGTCAAATTTCAATGGGCAGATTATCAAGAAAATATCCTAAGGCACTGAATTGTCTGAGGGATGAATCATTTTATAATCTAATATGTCCACAGTAAATTCACACATATGGAAAACACACTCAAATATCAAAAAAGAAAAAGATTTATTAGAGCTTTTTATGAATAAGGCTTCAAGTGATGATTTAATTTAATCTCTTTTTTGTATTTGAGCAAATTTGGATTTTGAGCTGTTCTTTTGCTTTATGAAACAGACTTCATTTCTCAAAAGTAATATAATATTAAAAGTGAAGACAGTTCAGAGATAATCTACCAAATGACCTCAATTTAAAATGAGTAAACAAAGGCCTAGAGAAGCAGGTAGCTTTTTAAACCTACAGAGCTAACTGAAGTTAATCAAACAGCACTATTCGGAGGCTGAACTCCAGTGTAGTAACTCCAAGGTAATGTTGTTCTTAATAAGCTACTTATTTTTATATATAATAGTTTCATGAAAGAATGATTTGCTCATTTTTTTGCCTCCAGGTTTATACAGAACAAATATCATACCAGACAAGGTATCTGCCTCAAAGAACATGGGGCTTAATTAAAAAGATAAGATACATTTACTGAAACAACAAAGTAATGGCATGTGATTATATTAAAAAATTACAACATGTAGGTATATGATTACCAATTATGATATGACATTTGAAATAGAAAACACAATGCAATATCAACAGTAGTGAGAATAACTATTCAAAGACAAAGAAAAATTATTTTATCTTTGTAGGCCATCACAACAGATATCTTAGTATAAAAGTTAAAACTTTCTCTACTTAACATGCACTGCCTCTAGTAAAGGTGCCACAGTATTATTACTACCATAATTACATAAAATAAGAAAAGTATATTCTTTTCTTATCTTGCTATCTATTTTTTCATACTCTATCTTGTTTTGAAATCACTAAAGTTATGAGGGGAAAACTAAAACAAGGTGCATTTGTAGCATGAGGATGTTGAGACCTCTTTCATAAATAATGCAGTGTGATTGGGTAACACCTTCCAGA